TGAAAAAGATGCCCCAATACCAGAAGGAGCTCTCCATGTACTCCACTCACTTCCATCTCGCCGAGGACTGCATGCACAACTACCAAACGTACACCAATAAACTCTGCAAAGTCGAACAAGTGAGCTCCTGTTTATTTATATCAAGTGGCAGGCTTTGTGATAGTTTTCGTTAGTCCTTTAACTGACTTCGGGCTTCACAGAGGAGAAGAACATTAAAGTCACAAATGTCGAGGGGGGGGGGGAACAGAAGTGTGATTCACAGATGTAAAAGTGACCGACACAAAGGTAGAGCGAAAAAGGCAAGGTGAGTACTGTGGAAGTGGTCGAATATGACATATAGTGGGGCCATGGTAGTCTGAAGGTAACTACCGATTAATAGACTTATTTTGCCGTATGAGTATACTTTGCCCAGTGTGCACCACTTGGAGCTAAGTCTATCGCGCACCCCGAGCTCTTATTTATCATTTTGTCAATATTGAATCCTCTACTTCGCCACTTGTTTACTCAAATAAATATGCAAATGAGTGAGGAACTTTTTTCAGCTTGATATGAATCATCGTTCTTAAAATGAAACCCCTGACGCTTCATTACGAATCTGATTTGGGCGTTTCTTTCAGCTATCCATAATTTGGCTTCCCCAAAGCTGAGGTATTCACATTGCCAAGCTTCTCATCATGAACCGCTCAGCTATTTCAGTCCCCAATATTCCAAAATTTAGAAACTGGCTTATGCTCATTGATTTGATATGAAAGTGTAATTTTTTAACAAGTAACCCACCTGAATTGTATTCTGCCCATGTGGGTGATTATATAATGGAGAGAGTAAATTACAGGCAATGGATGGATCTTTGTCAGCTCCTAATTGGAATCAGTGATATGAGATCCTCCAAATGTGCCTGTATTGTTGTCAATAAAATGGACTTTATATTGTTTTGAGAGTTAGAGCAAAATCACCGATCCCGTGATGATCATCCACTTGTTTCTATCTTAAGTTTAACTCATTTGCTTTCACTGAGTATGCATAATTTTGCCTGATTTTAGAATAAGTGCGAAATTTATTGGGAATTTTGATAGTGGTCGCTATTAGCGCAGTGGACTCTATCATTCTCGTTTCACTTGTTTCGGAAATTAGTAATTTTTTAATTTTGTTCTTCAACAAATAGGATCTTGCAATGGGCACAGATGCTGAGGGTGAGCGCATTAAGGATCACATGCGAAATACTGTGCCTCTATTGATTGACTCAAACGTTTCGACCTATGATAAACTTCGTCTCATTCTCCTCTATGTGGTTCAGCGTGGAGGCATTAGTGAAGAAAATTTGGCCAAACTTATTCAACACGCCCAAATTCCTGAACCCCAAGCCGCTGTGGTACGCAATCTTGCTGCACTCGGGGTACCAGTACTGCAGGATGCTGGAAGTGGACCTGTATGTTTTTATCTGATTGTGTAAAATAACTTTTTTTCACAAATTAAGTTAATAGTTTTAAGTAATACGATATTCCTACGATACTAAAATTATCCAATGAGAACCAATGCGTGTCCTCAATTGGCTTAGTTTAATTAGTGGGATAATCCAATTAGGTGGCCCTTGAGTGTTCGCTGCTGCTCCGCTTTCAGAACATCTCTGCTTCCCCTTGTCTATAAAACTATGGCAGACTCCTTTTATAGGTAAAACTTTATGTTTTTTATGGTACCAATTAGGAAAGTTCTCATTTTCCAAACGGATGCGTAAGTTCATTTCCTGTCCAGACACGATCAAGGAAACAACTTCTAAATTCCTTTCATAGTAGACAAAATGTGCAACTTTATTTATGATTGTGTCAAGGGTAATAATTTCCTACTCTCAAACCAGGCAGACAGCACGATTGGCATTTCTTATTGCTATTCTTTGAACACTTTGATCAGCTTGAAGGCTGCAAGCCCACCAAAGCCATTTTACGAAATTTTCTGGTCAAATGCTTACAGTCTACTGATGCCAATTTAATTGTAAAAGGCATAAATCAAGCATAGGTAGATTGAAGAGGATGAGTATTTGAGTGCCGGCGTACCGACTCTCCGAGTTTGACAAATATGAGTGGAGAACCCCATGCATTTCTTTGTTGTCAATGTAATGACTGCCTTCAGACCAATACATTGTTGACCATTCTTATCCCCCATTCCTACATTTGATGGGATGTAAGTGGTGTCACTCATTACGAATAGCTAAAATCAGGCAAAATGCTTACATCTGGATTCTATTTTTATCAACAAGTTAGAAGAAGAAGCCATAAATTAAATGATAAAACGCACGTTTATTTAATAGGATAATTCTTCAGCATGGCTATTGCACCAAAACACCCCTATTCGGAAGGTATACCAAGGGATTTGTACCTTTTCGGTTACTGTAGAAAACCATCAGCCGATCTAGGTGGAGGCCATCAATTAAGCCTAATTCGTTTGGTTTAGTGAGTGACTGTCAAGAATGTGACGCTCAAAATCCTTGTTAGACTACTTCATCAATTAAATTCAGTAGTATATCACTATTTCCAATAATTCTACTCATCGGACATTGAGTTAGGGAGAAACGGGGTAAGTTAAGACTAATTCTTGCTTGCATTTGATCACTTGATATTGGAAGCGGTAATACATTTTGTATACTTGAACTTCAACCCTTAATGCTGCAGATTGATCAACTGATTGGTACAGCGTCCAATCCTATTCAAGCCAACGTTTTAGACATTTGTCTTGGTCAGAAACGTAGTGTTACTGAATCCCAGTGCGATAAATTCAAAATCTACCAATAGAAATGATCTATGTGTTTGGCTGCTTTGCTCTCCGACCTCGAACGCATGCTTTTCAAAATACCATAGAATGCTATTGGATACATAAAGTTAGGTGATGTTGAAATTTTCTTTTGCTTGATCTTAAGGAAAGGTAAAAATCGTTTTAAAGTATTATATACTCCATGCTTTCTCTTTCAGACCATCGGTCGCAGAAAGGCACCACAGCCCTACCTTCCAGCGAATCGTCGAACTCGTGCCGACGAACCCAAGTACCAAATGTCTCGTTGGACTCCCTACTTAAAAGATCTCATTGAAGACGCTTGTGAAGATCGTTTGGATGCTCGTCAATATCCCTTCTTTGGTGGTGGGCCTGTGAAATCGTCAGGCCTTGTTGCTGGTGGAAATGCCGGTTTTGGCGGTGGTCTAAGTCGTGGTGGCGGTGCGGGTGGTGGTGGCTCGATGTCAGCCCGTTACGGCCAGTGGCATCGTGAAAAGGGCGCTCAAACACGCTCTGGTCCTCGCCTTATTTTCTTCGTTCTGGGTGGTATCTCATACTCGGAAATGAGATGTGCCTATGAGGTTATGGCAGCCTACTCGCAAGTTGTGAGTAGTGGAGGAGGTGCTGGTAAACAGTGGGATATTCTCGTGGGAGCAACCCATCTCCTTACCCCCGAGACCTTCATATCTGACCTTGAAAGACTCTCCTACCCTCCCGGTTCATCGGGAAATAACTCTGGAGGTCAGGGAAATGCCATACCTCAGAGTCAAATGGCTGGTGGGCCCGTGAATGTTTGAGAATCCATTGCGGGCAAAGCATTTACGCTGTCGTTCTCTCTAGAATGCAAAAGAATATGTTGTGATTAGATTTTCTCTTCTCCCCTCAATTATTAGTTCGTCTCTCCTTCTCGGGTTCTTTATCTCTTGCTGTTGTAAACTACTTCCCATTCTCTTCCTCCTCCCCACCTCTACATTTTAGCTTATATCTACGTGAAATTGTAGGGGAGATATTGACCTATCTACGTGAACTCGAATCAAATCTCAATTATCCAAGACGCTCTATATTATTCCTGCAACGACTGCTACTATATTGTTATTAAAGTGGCTAATTATCATTCCATTCATTATGTGCGTTTTTTCTTATCTTTCCCCCTAAAATGAATCATACTTGGAGCAAACGCGTGGAGCTGGAAAATGGGCTGAATCGTTAAACAAAATTAATGTATAACATGAGATAAGGGTATTATTATATCAAATGGCAGGCGTTTTGACGGTTATCATTAGCCCTTTAGTTGACTTCAGGCTTCACAGAGGGAAGGAACATCAAAGTGAAAAAAGGCCTAGAGGGCGGGGGGGGGGACAGAAGAGTGTTTCAAAGATGTAAAAGAGAGAGATAGACGCAACGGTAGAAAAAAGGTGAGGCGAGTACTGTGGAAGGGGTCGAATTTGACAACCAGGGGGGTCGTGGTAGTTTGAAGTCAAGTCAGCTGCCGAAAATAGTCTTTTTTGCCGTATGAGTATACGTTACCCAGCGTGCACCAAGTGGAGGTAAGTCTATCGCACACCCCAAGATAAGGGTATAAATGTGAAGAAAACTCTAAAAACTCAAATAGCAGATAAGGTGTAGAAGTTGAGAACAAGTCCAGTTATCTAACAAACTTTCATTCAATGTGAACATGAGCTCATTTGTGGATGTAAGTTTTATTCCAATGATTAATTTATTGTAGATATAACAAATATTTCCGAATTATACTTCGTACTCATATTGTTCAGAAGTTATGGCCAAGGAGATAGATTTGAGTTTTGACCTTACCGTCTAGATAAATATTTTAATGAGTTAAGCCAATTTTTATGCACTAACGTTCTCCAAAGTTCACTTAAGAGCATTTATTAACAAATTCAGATCTCCTGATAAAGTACATTTATCTTTCAAATTCTCATATATAGATCACAGGCAGTGGTAGTTCCACCAATTTTAATTGAAAAGCGTCTTTTCCAGTTTTCAGAAGTCATTAAAATGACAGCTTTTAGAGGCTATGACAAAGACCGTACAAAGTCCAAGAAAATAGTAGTGGAACAGTCAACAAACCTCTCAAAACTGCATATATCGTGTGTACGCCTACTTCTATAAGCAGGTAAGTGGGGTGTGCGATAGACTTACCTCCACGTGGTGCCCCCTGGGTAACGTATACTCATACGGCAAAAAGTCTATTAACTGGCAGTTGGCTTCTGACTTCAAACTACCATCACCCCACTGTATGTCATAATCGATCACTTTCGCAGTACTCACCTCGCCCTTTTTTCTAGCTTTTCTACCTTCGTCTTTGAAACACTCTTCTGTTCCCCC